TTCTACTGGTCCCACCCTATTTTAGGCAAATGTTGCATGCCAAACCAAGTGTGTGTAACATAAAAAATACCATGCATTGTGCGTTAGTCACTGTTATATCCTTGCCTTGCTGAAATGATATGGTCCTCTATATTTTATTGCCTGTACTATATACATTTATTCGGTCCTTTAAAAATAGTATGTATTTGGTGACAGTTATAACGGTAGCTGTAAAAAGATGTTGCTGAAATAAAAAAAAAATGGTCAGACTTTGCCATCGCAATGACATGCTTTAAAAATGTGTTGTTCATTTTTGCGTCATTTATTTTCAAGACAGACACGTTTTAAATAAATAAACAGGCAAATGTAATGTATGTGCAGTGGCATCGCGGGATGCCACTGCACGTCGCATAAGGCCAGCCTGTGCGTGAAGCTGCAGGGGACACGCTGCTCACACCACCAACAGCACGGCTGTTGTGCGACATTGCACTCCGGGTGCAGTGCCAGCACCTGAAGGCGAGAGCGCTTGGAAGCCATGGCACCCCGGATGAACCCGGAGGGCTAGTGGCCGGAGGTACCGGGGGTGGGGCCCCCAAAGAAGGGGACTGGGGGACCCCGGGACCTGTTCCAGATGCCTCTAGAAGGTTCTAGAAGGGAGGCGTGGCCAGGAGCCACGCCTCCCTTCCGGCTGCTGTTGAACACTTGAAGACCTGGAGCTGCCACTGAAGACCCGAAGACTCGCCCTAAAGAAGAGCCCGGAGGGCAGAACCCGAACCCCTGGCTAGGGTCGGGCTAAAGCTTAACCAATGTTAGGGCTGAGCTTAACCAGTGTGAGGGCACGATAGTCTGGAGGAGATACCTCCGTAGTGTATCGGGTGGAAAGGCCCATTACCCCTTTATGTTAGGTTTTATTAATGTTATAATAAAACGTGTTTCCTCCAGAGAAGCCTCTCTCTCCATTTATACCCACTACATATGTAATCATGGATGCTTCTATAATACAGGTTTTTTTTTGTTATATCACGTAAATATATGTGTCATTAAACCCGCCACAACCACACACAGCAAATTAGGAAGGTTTGTCACGTAACAACACTTTTATATATTTACGCGATCTAACCCCCAAAACACTGTATTATGGATGATATTGGTCGCAAAAGCCTACGTGATAATTGGAAGCTTCTATAGGTTTCAAGACAATATTAATAATATAAATGGTTGTAGAAATATAAATTACAGAATTAAATAAAAAATACTTACGTGTTTTATATGTATTTTATTGGGATGATAAGAGCATTCAGAAAGGCATTGTAGCACATTATCTCTGCATGATTTACCAATTCACCCTCAACACTTTATGAACGTGCATGACCACACTCAGCCTTGTGAGCGTCAATGAAGGAAAGTAGGGAACATGCTTGTGGTGCAGACATTGACAGTGTGTCCAATCACAACCCATGTGAATGTTAATACATCAAATTTCCAGCTTCTGGCTACTGTAAACATTCACCTGCAGATTCTGTCTTTGGACATGATGAGAATTTGGTGCTGGTGTAATGGTACGCACATTCAACTAGATCGCTGGTTTGATTCAATCCCTCTGGGTGGCAGTTGTAACAATGCGGAACGTTTCTAAAATTCGCTGCCTCTGCCCAACCAGAAATATAAATGGGTGTTCCACAGTCGATTGCCAGGGCACGTGTGGTGGGGAAATGTGTTGGCTACGCCCATCTATTCCAAGATGTCTGGTCAGCGAAGAAGAGCAAACTGAAAACTACCTATAGCTCGCTTTAGTGGGGGCTGTTCTACCAGGAGTGGCCTGAGCAAGCAAGCAAGAAATTGCAGGATTTCATCTTTACTTTTAAATAAGAAACGAGAGAAATGTTATTTTGTCCGTCATCCAGTGTGTACTTTTGCGCTTGCCAATCGGTGCATTCATTACTAACATTAATCTGCAAACCGTTACCGGTACCTGGACTTTGCAGCCAGTAATCTATTCTGAAAACTGTTACCAGTTTACCGGTTGGCGCCTTGTTATTGCGGTTGTGTTGTAATTGGAACACTGCACACCATTACATTGGTGGATGAAGGGGTCAACTTAGTTCATCTGGGTCCACCTTCGATACGTCTCGTAGATATACATATTATGCTATGTTTTCCAGTTGTATCTCAATATTTACAATTCTCTAGGGATCTTGTTACATATGACCGCTGTTTGCAAATTTTATTTTTCTATAATTTGCAGTCGTTCATTCCCATCGGACGTTATTTTGATGATGGTGTTTGCATATCTGTGATGGCTAATATTATCCCTGCCCATGATTGTCTCCTGCCTGCTTTTATGTCTCCAGTCACACTTTCAGAAAACATCGTCGGAGGTCACTGTGAATAATCTTGGTGAGTGCATGCCATCCTTTCTGACTCCCCTTCTAATTTGCATCACATTTATTTTTCCGTGCATTAGTGAGACAATATAAACTTTTAGACTGTACATGAAAAAATGTCACCTCTTACGTGAAAGCATTATCGCAGATTCAAACTTGCAAACTTGTATGTTGCAGTGTGAGGGTTACTGTTTATAAATGTGGAGAAGCGTTGATCTGTTCATAATTGCAGCCGTACTTTGACTTAAGTTTGTATTTTTTTAAAGTTCAATATTGGCACTAAACAGGTATATTGGCAGATAAAACATCATTAAATATATGAATCCGGCTTGTTAGGCACACAAAATTCGCTCACTCACGAAGAGAGACTATGACTCAGAGGCATTAGAAACCACAGACCAGCAGCAAGGCGTCACGCAGTGAGCCGGCGCCAGCAATTGTCCAACGCCTGCCGTACTCTATATGGACGTATTCGCGGCACACAAGTGCAGCATAACACACCGGTCCTCATGAAACAGTCTAAAATTTTAAAAATTAATACGAAAATCTGTGTATCAGTCTTTAATTGACCCTGTCGCCAAGTTTGACACGATTTTAAGGTTACTTCAGTCTATTGAGACTTGCTAGAAAAGGTCAATATTGACCATTGATTTGGGTCCGTTGAATCGAAGAACTGTTCGACCAAACTAGGGCACGAGTGAAATCTGCCTTTGCAACATGTAACCAATAGCCATCAGGCTGGGTGCTATACGGCAACAGACTGTATAACGTCGTGTTCAGCCGCTCATAACATTAGTCTTCCGACTGCTTCGACATTACGAGAACTGATTTTGACGCGCCCCACAAGATTTTATGACCAGGGTTGCGAATCGCGGGTAAATAATTATTGCAAAAAATTAGTGTTTTTATATACCGTGTACCAGTGTACCGCTAATACGTTCCTATGGTTATGTAGTTTCAGCCAATCACTGAGTGTTCATAGATGCGGGAGGAAATCAGAGAAATGCCATGCATGCAATGGTGAACACTATTCCATACAGATGGAACAGATAGAGATTAGCCCACACTTTGCTGTACCACCCTTCTCCTGGAAAGGCAGGGTATACGTACCTCAACACCCATGGGAAGGTAGTTTCGCAACCTTTATGTAAATCCACCATTTGCCTCCAGTGCCGGTTTACAGGTGTGCATCACCACCTCATGTTTACAAGTGGAAATGTTATGACAACAGGCCAATAACCTACAGTCATACCATGTGTGCGTGTTGGAGAGGGGGTTTGGGGCAGTGGTGTTGCAGTCATTCATGCACCGCACTCTGAACTAGGGTAGTTTTTGAAATACCAATAACCGAATGGAAACAATGGGTATAACCTCGTTAAGAGTTTCCCACACATATAGAGAAATGCCTGGTAACCAATATAATATTTTACCTTTTTAACTGAGAAACGGAGATGGCAGTCATGAAGTAATGATTACCACACTAGACTGCAATCCAGAGGTCGCTGGTTCTGTTTCATCTCCTGTCAATATAAATGGGTACACCAGAGGTAATTGATCCACACCTCGGCCAAAACGCCTGGTTAGCGTGGAAAAGTAGACCAAATTCCACACAACAGAAGATGGAGGCACCTCGCCTTCTAAACTATTGCCAGGTCAAACAAATACGTACTGCTTTAAACTCAGTGTTGGACTCAGTAAAGCAACACTTTTCATTCCACTTTACTCTTCATCCTTGATGCCAATTACTCAACCCATCGCTGTGATATCTTATTCTACGTCTGGTTTTAGGCCTCTCTCAAACAGGAGTGCAATGCATTGGGGGAAATATCTTCAGTTAATTTACACTTAAGTTAATGCCACATCTTTGTTGCTCGTATCCAGATACAATTCATCACGATCTAAGGCGTGCTACCCTTTTTAAATGCATCGTACCTCGCGCAAAAAAAAATTGGTTTAGCCTGGCATTATTTTGGTTGACGCCCCTCGTTTCGCAAAGGAATTGACCTTCAAATTGCGTCTAAATTCAATTCCATATCTGAGTTTGAACAAAAATATAATAGGCTTTAAGTAAATTTTCGTAAACATTTGTATCGACTGTTTTTGCGACTACGTAATAATACTAGCACTGCCCACGCATTTGCAAGGGATACGTTGGAGGGGTGGAAGGTGGCTGTGGAGTGTGACGTCAGCACGTACCAACAGCTCAACGCTATGGGATGCGGGCGACGTCATCACGCAGCTCTGAGCTGTGAAATCAACACCGCGCACGCACAATTTTCATGCCCGCACGCGAGCCAGACAGCCAGCCAGCAAAACTCTTCTGTCGTATTTCGTATGACTTTATGCAACTGTATGCATTACTCTACTTGCCTAAGCTAGTCAAATTTGTTTCCTTGAAGTTATATATTATACATGTTTTATATACATATTTTAAGTGCAATGTAGCATTTTCCTTAGCCTTTTCCACATTTTAGTGTATTAATTTTATTCATTCTTAAATGCAGTTTCCATTTAGTTAACTTTCGATATTTAAAACAATATATTTTACTTTGTTTCTTGACGTAATCTATATTCCCGTTGCAAATGTGACAATGTCTCACGTTTCATCTCGTTAAAAAAAGGGATACAACAACAGTCCCTTAAAATGTTTATTGGATCTTCCTGGCTCATGAAATATGCCTCCCTCGCATTACAATGAGCTGCCCCCACCCCCCTTTACTTTTTATTAGAAATATTTTACAACCGAATGTAAATCCCGACACCAAAACGTAATAAGTAACATTTACAAATCATAAAATTAATTTAGATAAGTGAACAAACCAACTATGGGACCACATAATAACACAATCACCTCTAAAAGCAACATGTAAACCACCACTTATAATAGTGCAGCATGATTTTCATGAACTGTTTACAGGTTCATAGGCACGAGTCTCCTGAGATAGCCAGCTGATCATATCTACATTAACACGTCTATCCATATTCATTATATATACCAGAAATATGAAAGTAGTGCAGAGTATAATTAAAAAATATATATTTTAAAGCAAGCCCATACAATTACCCCACGACCAGTATTTAAGCGTGGGGAGACGTTACTCCCCCCTGTTTTATTTATCACTCACACCATACTTGGCTGAGTTAGTGTGAATATATTTCCAGGTCTTGTGTTGGCAAAATTAATAGCACAAAACATGAAGAGAACAACAGTATTTTCTCCCACAATAAAACTAATTTCTTGCCTGCATTACACATGTCAAAGCATTTGAAATCACATCACAATAGTGATCCCACTTAGGGCCAGGCCAAATGCCAATATGACCATTTCCCAGATGCCAATATGGAAAACAGTAAACCCTGCCGATGTCTTAGATTCCTTCATGTCGTAGGAGCACACACGCAAGTTCCCAGCCACATCTGTGACGTCAACGCTAAACACCGTGTTGCAGCAGTCTCCAGAATAGCTCTTGGTCAATGTCTTCTCGCCAACGTTGTTGCTCATGTCACCAGGTGGATTTATCATCTTGATTCCAGACCCAGTGTCATCGAACCGGATGGTCACATTCCACGTGCTGGATTTGCACTTGGCATCTGCAAGCTTGTTTGAGCACTTTGTTTCGGTCAACGTTTCACAGGTCGGAAGAGATGCGTCATCATACTGTGCCCATGGATGGGGTGGGGGCAGGTATAGATCATGCATTAATTTTGAGATAAATATTGAGATGAAATCTGCATCATACATTGCAAGCACATATATAAGTAATAACATGCTATTGTACATTAATATCCCAGTCATGACATTAATACATGGGCAGGAGTGATTGGAAGACATGGGCCAGATCAGTGCAATGACAACACTAGCATATCTACAAAAGCAGGTGAATGCCAGATTCAAGCAAGGACTGCTGGACTAAATAGTAGCTGAGCATTGACCTCAAGTCCATGTTCTTGTCATAATGGACTCCGGGAAAACATTGCCAAATACGGTTTTATCGAATGCTTCCTACAGCTATACATGGTTTTCTTAACGAGGTCTATTTTCCGGAACACGGGGGTGATGTTTTGGCTATACGTGGTTTGACGCTACAAAGATTCTCATCTCAGTGTCGAAAAGTAGCACGCATTCCGCTTGTACTGGCCTGTATATGCCGAGGTTTCACATCTCGTCGCCACCTTCCCTCAAAACACAATCATGTGATCTCACTTTTTAATCATGGCCCCTGAGGTCAGTTGAGTGGTGGTGATTGTAGTGAGAAAAATCAGAGAAAAGTGATGACTTTCGTGCAAAAAGTGCAGTTGTTAGGCTTGCAAGATGTGAGAGCGCTGCATCCATTGGATGATACTATGGTGTAATTGAATCGACTGTGAGAACGATTTATACATAGGTAAGATGTCTGTTTTTAGTGTATGTTTAACCCAAAAACCTCTTATGTATGTTTTTATATGATAGTGTAACCCATACGCAACATGCTCATGCACAACGCAAATGTTCACAAATTGCCACATGCATATAGCCATGAATTCGATGAGGACGTCAGTCATACATACGCCTACATGGTGAATCATTATTATTCAAATAACAGTGTTAGGGGCGAGTGTTGGGCTAGCAATTGCGGTGGTACCTCGGTATGCGTCGTAAATTCGTTCCAGAAGGTAGGACTTATACCGAAAATGACGTATACCAAACGAATTTTTCGCATAAGAAATAAAGGGAAAGGAAATAATCCGTTCCAGAGGAAAATGAATTATATTTTACATGGCATATTATACATTAATGGGGTTGTATAAAATAATTTAGACACTAATTACTAATATGCATACAGAAGCCACGTGACCAGCGCTGCTGCCAGCTGCGCTTGTCACGTGGCGTGCTTCAACCCCGCACGTCGCGCGCGCCTCGACTCGGGGCTCCACCCTCCATGGGGGCAGCCCGCCGCGACCCCCGCCCCTCTCCCCCACGTCCCCCGCCCCTCTCCCTAACGTCCCCCGCCCCTCTCCCTAACGTCCCCCGCCCCTCTCCCCCATGCCACCATGCCCCTCTCGCTTTGTCTCAGTCGTGAACGGGGCATACGCGGGTACTGTACACGGTGACTCATCCCGACCCATACAAGTTCTAGCAAACGCGTCGTATCCCAAGCAAGACGTCGTATCCCAAGACATTTTTTTCTCGAAAAAACATGACGTATACCAATTTTGACTTATTTCAAAGCGGTCGTATACCGAGGTTTCACTGTAATTGGAAATTGGAATAATTAAGACGGGATTTTGTGTTGATGTAAAATAGTATTCACACAAATGGAGAGCGACTTAGCATCCTTGCTCACAATAACAAGGTGGAAATCATATAGAATAAGTTAAAGAGGAATTGCGTGATAATTTCAGAGCCACGACCACAACCTAATTTTTCCCATATGGTCAATTATTTGTCGGACGTAGTTTTACACGTAATTTTTTTGGAACATAACCCCCGCGTTCGCCGAGGTTTTCCTGTACAGTGAAGTTCATCTGTCCACTGACCATTGACTCGTTAATTTTCTCAACACCTTTAGGCTAATTCAATATAGCATGTAATTTGCATATAACATTATATATATATCGTAGTGTAGTTTCAACGGTACCTTCATGTCATAGGAGCACACACGTGTGTTCCCTGCTATGTCTGTGATGCTGATGCTTAGACTTGTGTTACAGCAGTCTCCTGAAAAGCTCTTGTTCAACGTCTTCTCGCCAACGTTGTTGCTCATGTCACTAGGAGGATCTATCATTTTGATGCCTGACCCAGTGTCATTGAATCGGATGTTCGCGTTCCACGTGCTGGATTTGCACTTGGCGCCCTCAAGCTTGTTTGGGCATTTTGTTTCAGTCAACATTTCGCAGGTCGGAAGAGATGCGTCATCATACTGTACCCGTCGATGGGGAGGGGGGCGGGGGTTATAGATAATGCATTAATTTGGAGATTCATATTGAGATAAAATGTGCATCATACATTGCAAGCATATATATGTTTTAATAATTAAAATGCTATTCTACATTAATATCCGAGTCATGGCATTAATACCTGGGCAGGAGTGATTGGAAGACATGGGCCAGATCAGTGCAATGACAACACTAGCATATCTACAAAACAAGTGAATGCCGGATTCAAGCAAGGACTGCTGGACTAAATAGTAGCTGAGCATTGACCTCAAATCCATGTTCTTGTCATGAGGGACTCCGAGAAAACATTGCCAAATGCGGTTTTATCGAATGTTGGTTACAGCTATACATGGTTTTCTTAACGAGGTCTATTTTCCGGAACACGGGGGTGATGTTTTGGCTATACGTGTGTAATAAAAGACTCCGTCAGGCGATGCTGGTCTCCGTTTGTCTTTAATTCAGGTTCTTCTCCGCACCCCCACTGGCCTCCTCTCGGACCAGTGTTGTCTCGCGCGCGCCCCGCGCACGCTCCCTCTCGCGTGCCACGCACGCTCTCTCTCGCGTGCCCCGCACGCTCCTCCGTTAGCTCCTCTATTACCGCACTCCGCACACCGCTGGCCGACGGCGTGCTGAGGTCCTTCGGCCACGTGGCCGATGGCGTGGATCTTTCCTCACCACCCGACGTGGCTCAGCCTCTTAATTTCCCCGACTGCCCCGATCTCTTCCGGGCTCCCACTTATATCCATTCCCCCCACATGACCCTGACTCCCGCCTCCCGGATCGTCAGATCCGGCCTTCCCATACTACCCTGCTGGCTCCGCCCCCATTCACCTCGCCTCCCATTGGAGCCGAGGTGAACAGTGGCCCCTCCCACACGCCCCGCAGACCAGGCTCCGCCCCCCAATGCCCCGGGCCGCGTGATTAAACCAGAGGCCAGCAACAACCCCATTTACGCTCACATTACACGTGGTTTGACACTACTAAGATTCTCATCTTAGTGTCGAAAAGTAGCATGCATTCCGCTTGTACTGCCCTGTATATGCCGAGGTTTCACATCTCGTCGCCACCTTCCCTCAAAACACAATCATGTGATCTCACTTTTTAATCATGGCCCCTGAGGTCAGTTGAGTGGTGGTGATTGTAGTGAGAAAAATCAGAGAAAAGTGATGACTTTAGTGCAAAAAGTGCAGTTGTTAGGCTTGCAAGAGGTGAGAGTGCTGCATCCATTGGAAGATACTATGGTGTAATTGAATCGACTGTGAGAACGATTTATATATAAATTTCGATTTAAAGCTTTCGTGACTGCAGGGATTCATCTTCTTGGTTCTTTAGGTAAAGTCACGTAGAATGGAAATAATAAAATAATAAAAATTAAACATAATAAAATAATTCTCACGACGTTTCGGCCACAACGCAAGCAGCCGTCCTCAGGTGAAGAACAGGTCTGTCGAGAAGACAGAGTCTGAATAACAACCCCAGACTTGGAGCGTCTTTTTTAAGCTGGGTTGGAGGGGGGAGAGAGCGCCTTGACAAAATAATTTGCATATCAAGAGGAATTTAGCATATTTATGGAAAATGCAGATATGCGATTAGTACTACTTGTGAAATGCGTAGGAGGTTTGGCGGGGGGTTTAAAGTCATTATGCCCGTGCATTATGCAGGATTAGCAGCATCAAAGGGAGGGGGTAGGGGTAGCATTAATAAAGAGAAGAAATGTTAATAGTATGTATCTGCAGTAACTAAACCACCACGTAGACAGTTAAAGTATAAACTACATAGTATCATCAGTATACTAAATATACTCTTCAATAAGCTGAGCTACTAACAGTAAGTAATACATTACAATTCTACGTCGCAAAAAATATAATATGCTTCCAGCTAAACTTTATTCTCTTACATCACACGGGTATACCCTGTACTATATACTGCCATAGACAAACCCAACATTAAATTATATACTGTATTATTATAATACACCACCCTATACAATTAATATATAGTATCGTAATTGTATAGTGAATATACAGCAGTGTGATATACAGTAGGGTAGGTAGAATAATACATAGTGTAATATTGCAATGTATAAGGTATAGGGTGGTGTATTATAATAATACAGTATGTAATTTAATGTTGGGTTTGTCTATGGCAGTATATAGTACGAGGTATACCCGTGTGATGTAAGAGAATAAAGTTTAGCTGGAAGCATATTATATTGTTTGCGATGTAGAATTGTAATGTATTACTTACTGTTAGTAGCTCAGCTTATTGAAGAGTATATTTAGTATACTGATGATACTATGTAGTTTATACTTTAACTGTCTACGTGGTGGTTTAGTTACTGCAGATACATACTATTAACATTTCTTCTCTTTATTAATGCTACCCCTACCCCCTCCCTTTGATGCTGCTAATCCTGCATAATGCACGGGCATAATGACTTTAAACCCCACGCCAAACCTCCTACGCATTTCACAAGTAGTGCTAATCGCATATCTGCATTTCCCATAAATATGCTTAATTCCTCTTGATATGCAAATTATTTTGTCAAGGCGCTCTCTCCCCCCTCCAACCCAGCTTAAAAAAGACGCTCCAAGCCTGGGGTTGTCATTCAGACTCTGTCTTCTCGATAGACCTGTTCTTCACCTGAGGACGGCTGCTTGCGTTGTGGCCGAAACGTCGTGAGAATTATTTTATTATGTTTTATTTTAATTATTTTATTATTTCCATTCTACGTGACTTTACCGAAAGAACCAAGAAGATTTATACATAGGTAAGATGTCTGTTTTTAGTGTATGTTTAACCCAAAAACTTCTTATGTATGTTTTTATATGATAGGGTAACCCATACGCAACACGCTCATGCACAATGCCAATGTTCACACATTGCCACATGCACATAGCCATTAATTCGTTGAGGACGTCAGTCATACAGACGCCTACATGGTGAATCACTATTATTCAAATAACAGTGTTAGGGGCGAGTGTTGGGCTAGCAATTAATTGGAAATTGGAATAATTAAGACGGGATTTTGTTTTGATGTAAAATAGTATTCACACAAATGGAGAGCGACTTAGCATCCTTGCTTACAATAACAAGGTGGAAATCATATAGAATAAGTTAAAGAGGAATTGGTTGATAATTTCAGAGCCAGGACCACAACGTAATTTTTCCCAAATGGTCAATTATTTGTCGGACGTAGTTTTACACGGAAATTTTTTTGGAACATAACCCCCACGTTCGCCGAGGTTTTCCTGTACAGTGAAGTTCATCTGTCCACTGACCATTGACTCGTTAGTTTTCTTAACACCTTTAGGCTAATTCAATATAGCATGTAATTTGTATATAACATTATATATATCGTAGTGTAGTTTCAACTGTACCTTCATGTCATAGGAGCACACACGTGTGTTCCCTGCTATGTCTGTGATGCTGATGCTTAGACTTGTGTTACAGCAGTCTCCTGAAAAGCTCTTGGTCAACGTCTTCTCGCCAACGTTGGTGCTCATGTCACTAGGAGGATATATCATTTTGATGCCTGACCCAGTGTCATTGAATCGGATGTTCGCGTTCCACGTGCTGGATTTGCACTTGGCGCCCTCAAGCTTGTTTGGGCATTTTGATTCAGTCAACATTTCGCAGGTCGGAAGAGATGCGTCATCATACTGTGCCCGACGATGGAGAGGGGGGCGGGGGGTTATAGATAATGCATTAATTTGGAGATTCATACTGAGATAAAATGTGCATCATACATTGCAAGCATATATATGTTTTAATAATTAAAATTCTGTTGTTCATTAATATCCGAGTCATGGCATTAATACCTGGGCAGGAGTGATTGGAAGACATGGGCCAGATCAGTGCAATGACAACACTAGCATATCTACAAAACAGGTGAATGCCGGATTCAAGCAAGGACTGCTGGACTAAATAGTAGCTGAGCATTGACCTCAAGTCCATGTTCTTGTCATGAGAGACTCCGAGAAAACATTGCCAAATGCGGCTTCATCGAATGTTTGTTACAGCTATACATGGTTTTCTTAACGAGGTCTATTTTCCGGAACACGGGGGTGATGTTTTGGCTCTACGTGGTTTGACGCTACTAAGATTATCATCTCAGTGTCGAAAAGCAGCACGCATTCCGCTTGGACTGGCCTGTATATGCCGAGGTTTCACATCTCGTCGCCACCTTCCCTCAAAACACAATCATGTGATCTCACTTTTTAATCATGGCCCCTGAGGTCAGTTGAGTGGTGGTGATTGTAGTGAGAAAAATCAGAGAAAAGTGATGACTTTCGTGCAAAAAGTGCAGTTGTTAGGCTTGCAAGAGGTGAGAGCGCTGCATCCATTGGATGATACTATGGTGTAATTGAATCGACTGTGAGAACGATTTATACATAGGTAAGATGTCTGTTTTTAGTGTATGTTTAACCCAAAAACCTCTTATGTATGTTTTTATATGATAGTGTAACCCATACGCAACACGCTCATGCACAACGCAAATGTTCACAAATTGCCACATGCATATAGCCATGAATTCGATGAGGACGTCAGTCATACATACGCCTACATGGTGAATCATTATTATTCAAATAACAGTGTTAGGGGCGAGTGTTGGGCTAGCAATTGCAGTGGTACCTCGGTATGCGTCGTAAATTCGTTCCAGAAGGTAGGACTTATACCGAAAATGACGTATACCAAACGAATTTTTCGCATAAGAAATAAAGGGAAAGGAAATAATCCGTTCCAGAGGAAAATGAATTATATTTTACATGGCATATCATACATTAATGGGGTTGTATAAAATAATTTAGACACTAATTACTAATATGCATACAGAAGCCACGTGACCAGCGCTGCTGCCAGCTGCGCTTGTCACGTGGCGTGCTTCAACCCCGCACGTCGCGCGCGCCTCGACTCGGGGCTCCACCCTCCATGGGGGCAGCCCGCCGCGACCCCCGCCCCTCTCCCCCACGTCCCCCGCCCCTCTCCCTAACGTCCCCCGCCCCTCTCCCTAACGTCCCCCGCCCCTCTCCCCCATGCCACCCTGCCCCTCTCGCTTTGTCTCAGTCGTGAACGGGGCATACGCGGGTACTGTACACGGTGACTCATCTCGACCCATACAAGTTCTAGCAAACGCGTCGTATCCCAAGCAAGACGTCGTATCCCAAGACATTTTTTTCTCGAAAAAACATGACGTATACCAATTTTGACTTATTCCAAAGCGGTCGTATACCGAGGTTTCACTGTAATTGGAAATTGGAATAATTAAGACAGGATTTTGTGTTGATGTAAAATAGTATTCACACAAATGGAGAGCGACTTAGCATCCTTGCTCACAATAACAAGGTGGAAATCATATAGAATAAGTTAAAGAGGAATTGCGTGATAATTTCAGAGCCACGACCACAACCTAATTTTTCCCATATGGTCAATTATTTGTCGGACGTAGTTTTACACATAATTTTTTTGGAACATAACCCCCGCGTTCGCCGAGGTTTTCCTGTACAGTGAAGTTCATCTGTCCACTGACCATTGACTCGTTAGTTGTCTTAACACCTTTAGGCTAATTCAATATAGCATGTAATTTGTATATAACATTATATATATCGTAGTGTAGTTTCAACTGTACCTTCATGTCATAGGAGCACACACGTGTGTTCCCTGCTATGTCTGTGATGCTGATGCTTAGACTTGTGTTACAGCAGTCTCCTGAAAAGCTCTTGGTCAACGTCTTCTCGCCAACGTTGGTGCTCATGTCACTAGGAGGATCTATCATTTTGATGCCTGACCCAGTGTCATTGAATCGGATGTTCGCGTTCCACGTGCTGGATTTGCACTTGGCGCCCTCAAGCTTGTTTGGGCATTTTGATTCAGTCAACATTTCGCAGGTCGGAAGAGATGCGTCATCATACTGTGCCCGACGATGGAGAGGGGGCGGGGGGTTATAGATAATGCATTAATTTGGAGATTCATACTGAGATAAAATGTGCATCATACATTGCAAGCATATATATGTTTTAATAATTAAAATGCTGTTGTTCATTAATATCCGAGTCATGGCATTAATACCTGGGCAGGAGTGATTGGAAGACATGGGCTAGATCAGTGCAATGACAACACTAGCATATCTACAAAACAGGTGAATGCCGGATTCAAGCAAGGACTGCTGGACTAAATAGTAGCTGAGCATTGACCTCAAGTCCATGTTCTTGTCATGAGAGACTCCGAGAAAACATTGCCAAATGCGGCTTTATCGAATGTTTGTTACAGCTATACATGGTTTTCTTAACGAGGTCTATTTTCCGGAACACGGGGGTGATGTTTTGGCTATACGTGGTTTGACGCTACTAAGATTATCATCTCAGTGTCGAAAAGTAGCACGCATTCCGCTTGGACTGGCCTGTATATGCCGAGGTTTCACATCTCGTCGCCACCTTCCCTCAAAACACAATCATGTGATCTCACTTTTTAATCATGGCCCCTGAGGTCAGTTGAGTGGTGGTGATTGTAGTGAGAAAAATCAGAGAAAAGTGATGACTTTCGTGCAAAAAGTGCAGTTGTTAGGCTTGCAAGAGGTGAGAGCGCTGCATCCATTGGATGATACTATGGTGTAATTGAATCGACTGTGAGAACGATTTATACATAGGTAAGATGTCTGTTTTTAGTGTATGTTTAACCCAAAAACCTCTTATGTATGTTTTTATATGATAGTGTAACCCATACGCAACACGCTCATGCACAACGCAAATGTTCACAAATTGCCACATGCATATAGCCATGAATTCGATGAGGACGTCAGTCATACATACGCCTACATGGTGAATCATTATTATTCAAATAACAGTGTTAGGGGCGAGTGTTGGGCTAGCAATTGCAGTGGTACCTCGGTATGCGTCGTAAATTCGTTCCAGAAGGTAGGACTTATACCGAAAATGACGTATACCAAACGAATTTTTCGCATAAGAAATAAAGGGAAAGGAAATAATCCGTTCCAGAGGAAAATGAATTATATTTTACATGGCATATCATACATTAATGGGGTTGTATAAAATAATTTAGACACTAATTACTAATATGCATACAGAAGCCACGTGACCAGCGCTGCTGCCAGCTGCGCTTGTCACGTGGCGTGCTTCAACCCCGCACGTCGCGCGCGCCTCGACTCGGGGCTCCACCCTCCATGGGGGCAGCCCGCCGCGACCCCCGCCCCTCTCCCCCACGTCCCCCGCCCCTCTCCCTAACGTTCCCCGCCCCTCTCCCTAACGTCCCCCGCCCCTCTCCCCCATGCCACCCTGCCCCTCTCGCTTTGTCTCAGTCGTGAACGGGGCATACGCGGGTACTGTACACGGTGACTCATCTCGACCCATACAAGTTCTAGCAAACGCGTCGTATCCCAAGCAAGACGTCGTATCCCAAGACATTTTTTTCTCGAAAAAACATGACGTATACCAATTTTGACTTATTCCAAAGCGGTCGTATACCGAGGTTTCACTGTATTTGGAAATTGGAATAATTAAGACAGGATTTTGTGTTGATGTAAAATAGTATTCACACAAATGGAGAGCGACTTAGCATCCTTGCTCACAATAACAAGGTGGAAATCATATAGAATAAGTTAAAGAGGAATTGCGTGATAATTTCAGAGCCACGACCACAACCTAATTTTTCCCATATGGTCAATTATTTGTCGGACGTAGTTTTACACATAATTTTTTTGGAACATAACCCCCCGCGTTCGCCGATGTTTTCCTGTACAGTGAAGTTCATCTGTCCACTGACCATTGACTCGTTAATTTTCTCAACACCTTTAGGCTAATTCAATATAGCATGTAATTTGCATATAACATTATATATATATCGTAGTGTAGTTTCAACGGTACCTTCATGTCATAGGAGCACACACGTGTGTTCCCTGCTATGTCTGTGATGCTGATGCTTAGACTTGTGTTACAGCAGTCTCCTGAAAAGCTCTTGTTCAACGTCTTCTCGCCAACGTTGTTGCTCATGTCACTAGGAGGATCTATCATTTTGATGCCTGACCCAGTGTCATTGAATCGGATGTTCGCGTTCCACGTGCTGGATTTGCACTTGGCGCCCTCAAGCTTGTTTGGGCATTTTGTTTCAGTCAACATTTCGCAGGTCGGAAGAGATGCGTCATCATACTGTGCCCGACGATGGAGAGGGGGGCGGGGGGTTATAGATAATGCATTAATTTGGAGATTCATACTGAGATAAAATGTGCATCATACATTGCAAGCATATATATGTTTTAATAATTAAAATGCTATTGTACATTAATATCCGAGTCATGGCATTAATACCTGGGCAGGAGTGATTGGAAGACATGGGCCAGATCAGTGCAATGACAACACTAGCATATCTGTAATAAAAGACTCGGACGCTTCTCTCTGTCCTGTGTCCTTTATTTGGGTTCGATCTCTTTTCCCTCACGGCACTCCCCTATATACTCTTCACTCTGCAGCCCCAGGCTGCTGTCGCTCACGTAGCCCCCTCACTCCTCTATATACTCTTCACTCTGCAGCCCCAGGCTGCTGTCGCTCACGTAGCCCCTCTTAGCAGCCCCGCTGCTGTCTCGACGTGCAGACTCCCGCTGCCCAACTCCTCCCTTGCAGACCCGCTGCTCTCTGCAGCCTCCTCGCTGCTCCTGCTGCCCCGGGGGTCGGTCACCGTTGGCCGACGGTGCCGATCCTCGTGGTCCGTGTGTGTGGCGATCTCGCCACTCTCTCTCTCACACCCCGCCCTGCGTGGCCTCACACTTTCCCAGTCTCCGTTCACTCCCCTACTGCTTCCGGTTTCTCCCCTTATAGCCCTGAACCCTCTCCCCCACGTGACGTAACTCCTCCCCCCATGACGTCACTTCCGGGAGGTCGTTTACGCCCGCATTACACCACCCTCCCCCGTAGAGAAAATCCAGCCGACCTTGGCTGAACACAACTCCAACAAGCAATGCGAGCGAACACGACCGATTACTAAAAAGGACACAGAACACACAATAAAATACCGAAAGAACAAGAACACAACACAATAATTAACGAAATGTGAGGGATTTTGAGCGGGTGCGGGTCGCCGGACCGTCCCGGACGGTTGGCGGCCCTCCCGCCGAGCGGGAACGTGGCAGGGTTTTAAGAGCGACAGGCTGAAGTTCGTCTGTCGCTATTGGAGGCCTGGCAACGTCCCGGTCCCCTATTCTCAAAGGCGCAGTATCAGAGGCGTCCCGCAATCGCGTCCGCGGCGGGGTTGGAAGGGCTGCGGGCCTCAAAGGTTCCGCAGCCGTGGTAGGCGCACCCCGAGCTGAGTCTTCTTTCCCCTGCCGCGTCAAGGCCGGCTCGTCTGTAAAAGGCACGACAGGCGCTCTTGCAAGGTCAGCAGGCACAGGCAAGGGCGAGTCGGCAGCAACAGACCCCGGCAAGGCAATCTCAGGAGATGACGCATCAGGTCGAGGGGCCACGTATGGTTTCAACCGAGATGTGTGGACGAACCAACGCCGAGATCCAAACCGAACACGCGCCGATTGTGGGTTGGGAACCTCGATGAGGCGAACCGGCCCTTGCCATGGTTTATGTAACTTAGGAGAGGTACCTGGCCGCACCTGTGGGCAATGGAGCCAGGCCAGGTCCCCCGTTTTCCAGGGGCATTCCCCTTTTGAACGTCGCGCACACCGCTCGTTCCGAGCCTGGGCTTTGGCCGTAGCCATGCGGGCCCCTTCCCGCGCCACAGTGACTCGGCGAACGGTGTCCTGAATATAATCAGGAAGAGGCTTAGCAGGTCCCCTCGCTCCGGTCCCCAACTGTACATTAATCGGCGGTACGTTTTCACGACCGTACATAAGAAAAAACGGCGAATATCCTGTAGCCGCGTGCGGCGTCATCCGGTACGCTGAAAGCACCCCAGGGATATGCAAATCCCAATCCGATTGTTTTTCACTGACCGTATGGCACAACATGGCGATTTAGCCGTTCCACCATACCATCCGTTTGTGGGTGGTAGGGAGATGTCCGAATTTTCTTTGTTCCAAGAGCCGCACACACCTCCCCCAACAATTTAGACGAAAAATTCCGGCCCTGGTCTGTAAGGAGTCTCTCCGGCACCCCCTTATCCATAACATACCCAAATAGAAAGGCGTCTGTGATAGATGCCGCTGACTGGTCAGGCAATGGCCAGGCCATCGGCCAGCGGGAGAGATACTCCACCCCTACCAGCAAATATTTATTTCCCCTAGCGGATGGCGGAAAGGGTCCCAAAATATCTAACGCTACCAACTCATTAACTCGAGACACCTGGATAGATTGTATCGGCGGCACATATGGATGTTTAGGTGGCTTACGGCGGGCACAATCGGGACACGCACGAACGTGCCCGACGACATCCGTCGTCATGCCGTGCCAATAGTAATCTCGCTGCAGCGTCAATAGGGTCTTCTGCACCCCCAGATGTAAAAGCGTGTCACAATGCAGAGTCCTAATCAATTCGTACCGCAATGATGCCGGTACAACAAGACGCCAGCGTTCCTGTATCCCTTCCCTCCACATCAGCAACCCATCACGGAGAGCGGTTTCCGGCACACCCCCCGCACAGATTCCCTCACTCCCCTTCACAGGCCGCTTACGTAACGTTACCAAAGATTCATCCAACATTTGCTCCCGAATCCACACAGACCTCGGGAGATGTAAAATGCCATCAGCCGGTCCCCCATCAGCCGGCCCCGGCTCAAGCGGAGCCTCAGGCACTTCGACTGCCAGCGCGACAGGCTGAGGGGGGTGCTGAATCGGGCCACACCTATGCGTCCCCGACGCACACGCGCAAGGGGATCGCTGCGGCATCCTGGAAAGTGCGTCCGCATTAGCGTGATGCACACCCTTCCGATGATGAATTTGGAAGGAAAATTCTTGCAGCGTGTCCAACCACCGCGCCAGCTGGCCGGATGGTTGGTCCATCTTAAGGGCATACTGCAAGGCCGCATGATCCGTGCGAACAATAAACGAACGACCGTACAGATACGGTCGAAATTGGCGGAGAAAAAAAACAATAGCCAAAAGTTCCCTGCGTGTGACGCAGTAGCGGGTTTCAGCGGGAGACAAAACCCGGCTACCATATGCCACCACGCGTTCCACACCACCTTTGGACTGAGACAACACCGCCCCAATGCCCGTGTCACTCGCGTCCGTATCCAGAATGAAGGGATGTTCAAAATCCGGATAATCCAACGTCGGCGCCGTAGCCAATAGATCGAGTAGGCCTCGAAACGCCACCTCTTCTGGCGGTCCCCAAGCAAATTTGTGTCCCTTTCCCGTAAGGAGATGCAAAGGCCTTGCGATCGTAGCAAAATTTGGAACAAACCTCCGATAATATGAGGCGAACCCCAAAAACCGACGCACGTCCCCCACCGTGGCAGGGGTTGGCCAGTCACGGACACACGCAGTTTTATCCGGATCTGTGGCCACCCCATCCGCACTGACGATGTGCCCCAAATAACGCACGGAGTGTTGCAGCAGGTGACATTTCTTAGGCTTAAATTTCAAATTAGCAGAACGCATCCTGGTGAACACAGCCTCCAACCGCGATAAATGCTCGTCAAATGTGCGGCTGAAGACGATAATATCGTCTAAATATATCAGGCATGTCTCCCACTGCAACCCCGTTAATACCAACTCCATCAACCTCTGAAAAGTGGCAGGGGCCGCATTCAACCCCATCGGAAGACAGTTAAATTGGAATAACCCCTGCGGCGTACGGAAAGCAGTCTTTTCTCGCGAGGACTCATCAAGGGGAAGCTGCCAGAAACCCGAAGAGAGATCTAGCGTTGAAAAGAACTTCGCCTCCGACAAGGCATCGAGAGAGTCGTCCATACGCGGCAGGGGATACGCATCTGCCACCGACACTTTATTTAATTTACGAAAATCTACACAAAATCGCAATTTGCCATCTTTCTTCTTGACCAAAACAACAGGCGCACCCCATGGGCTGTTAAACGGAGATATTATGTCCGCAGCCAACATGTCATCCACTGCCCCCCGAACATGCTCTCGCTCAGCCGGACTCATCCGATGCGAGTTCAACCGAATAGGGGCAGCGTCCCCTGTGTCAATGTGATGGTAAAGCAACGAGGTGCGTCCCAAGTCCAAATCGTCGGAGCTAAACACGTCGGAATAGCTCAATAATAATTTACGAATCGCACAACGTTGCTCCCTTGAAAGAGCAGAATTCTCCCCACACAATTCAGCGATCCAGCGATCATCTGCAGCTCCGGGGCCCGAAACACCTGCAACAAAACCCCGGCTGGACAGATCATCCTGAGCTGCAAACGCAGTAGTGGCATGTGCCACAACGGTACCCGCCGGCACACACACGCTTTCGGTACCCGCGTTAAGCACCTGTAAAAACGGCCGCTGGTCTGGCCGGACAATAGTTTGTGCCCCAACCAGCGCTGATCCACCCGTGATAGTGGCGGACGGAGACAACAAAACACCAATCGCTCCTTGACGACCAGGTACAGGCTTCCGATAACGCAAAGGAATAAGCATCTGTGAGCCAAGTGGAATATCAACAGACACCTCGGACAACGCCTGCACCTGGGCGACAGGAGCAGGTCGCCCCCAGAGCGACGGCAAAAACGCAATTTTACGGCCTTCCGGTAATTCAATGCAGTTCTCATTAATTCTAATTAGAATGGGCATTTTGGCCAGAAAATCGGTCCCCAACAAGCAAGGAACCGCAAGAGACCTCGAAATTAACACTACTCCCGAGGCCGACACTCCCCCGATAGCGATGTTAGCGTCCACCTGGCCCACAATGCCCATGCTACCCCCGTTCGCGGCGATGCAGGAAGCGTAAGCCGGACTCACGGCCTCTGGTGGGATGTTCAAGAGATGAAATATTACATCGGAAATAATGGTCGCGGACGCTCCGGAATCTACCAAAATCCGTACGTCCACCCCTTGTATCGACCCAGGTACGGTGGACAAACCGGTAGCAGCCGCGACAACCCGCCGAGCCAACTTACGCCACTGCGTTACCGAGCGACAAGGCGCAGTCAATGGCCTCCCGTAATTAATAACAACCGGATCGCATGACAACGGTGATGAGTGAGGTATCAAGCCTTGCCGGGTGTCTGGTGCGCACCGACTTGCCTGTGCTGGCGAAT